CTCCTACCTCCAACCACCATTGTGTACCTCCACCCTCCCTGTGTACCTCCTACCTCCACCCACCATGTGTACCTCCTACCTCCCCCCACCATCATGTGTACCCCCTCCCTCCACCATGTGTACCTCCTCCCACCATGTGTACCTCCACCACCACTCATGTGTACCTCCACCCTCCGTGTACTACCTCCTTTTCCCTCCACCACCATGTGTACCTCCACCCTCCATGTGTACCTCCCTACCCTTCACCCCCACCATGTGTACCTCACCCTCCATGTGTACCCCCTCCACCCACCATGTGTACCACCTCCTCTCCACCCCCATGTTTTACCTTCCACCTCCATGTGTACCTCTCCTTCATGTTTTACCTCCCTCCACCCATGATGTGTACCCCCCTCCTTTGACCTCCTTCATGTGTACCCTCCCTCCACCCTCATGTGTTTCCCCCTCCTTACCACCTTCATGTGTACCTCCCTCCATGTGTACCCCCCATGTGTGCCCCCCCCCTCCTCCTCTACCATCCTTCATGTGTACCCCCTCCCCTCCATGTGTATCCCCTCCCTCCATTGTTACCCCCCTCCCTCTACCATCCTTCATGTATACCTCCACCCTCCATGTGTACCCCCTCCCTCCACCCTTCATCATGTGTACCCCCTCCCTCCACCCTCCTTGTACCTCCACCCTCCATGTGTATCCCTTTCCCTCCACCCTCCATGTGTACTCCTCTCATGTGTACCCCCCTCCCTTACCATCCTTCATGTGTACCCCTCCCCCTCCATGTGTATCCCCTCCCTCCATATGTACCCCCCTCCCTCTACCATTCCTTCAGTATACCTCCACCCTCCATGGTACCCCCTCCATCCACCCTTCACTCATGTGTACCCCCTCCCTCCACCCTTCATCATGGTACCCCCTCCCTCCACCCTTTCATCATGTGTACCCCCTCCCTCCACCCTCCTTCTTGTACCCCCCACCCTCCATGTGTATCCCTTTCCCTCCACTCCATGTGTACTCCCTCCATGTGTACTCCCTCCATGTGTACCCCCCCCCCTCCACCATGTGTACCCTCTCCCCCACACCATTCTCTGGTGTTGTACTGGAGGAGAGAAGCCTCACTATGTGTTGCAACACTTTGGTGTTGTCTAGAGAAGAGAAACCTCACTGTTGCAACACCTAGGTGAGGGCACCTCCAACGATACTCAGACATAAGCGTATGTAGTACAGCGTTATTTCCGCTATTTAACTTTCACTTCTGATCACTTTCTATTGTGACTCCTCCATATCTGTTGTCTGCTACCCCCCCCCTCTTTTGGTACCCCTCTCTCTGCTGTGACCCTTCCACCTCTATGTAACCTTTCACTTTTCCATTTCGAATTGCCTCTGCTGTTTAAACTAGTCTTATTTATACTTACGTTCCCGCAGGCGTTGGCAGGAGGCGGTGGCCGCTGCTGAGCAATGCTGGTTTTGAGTCAACAAGAACTGCAGGAAGCAGGTGAGGAGCGGGGGCGCGCGCCGGGAGAGGTTCCGTGACCGCCAAATGGAACGAGGGCACTCGCCCCCTGCCTTAACGAATTCACAGTGGTTCAGGAACCCTTTTATGGAAAAAGAAACCCACGGTCAGACTTAAGGAACCCACAGCAGCTCCTTGACTGATAGATGGAAAAGCAGATCTCCTGTAAGTTTTAACTAACCCAGGATGGTTTCGATTCCAGGAGAAGGAAGGGGGGGAACCCATCGTCAGCCTTAACAAACCAACAGTGATTCCAGGACCTGAGATGAAACGAGACATCAATCATAACCCCTTAACGATCCCACTACGGTTCCGGAACCAGGAGATGGCACAAAAGAACCGACATCATTTTAAATGAACCTCACCCACAAGTCCAATCTACGTCTAGTCCTCCCAATCTAGCAACACCTTGACATCCAGTCAAGGTCCGACCACCATCACCTGTCATGCTCAATTGACACAGAGTCCACTTCAACACAGTACCCCCAGTGCCAATTGTTGTCTTCATCCATTTCCCAAATTTTCGTTCTCACAAGCACATGATCATCCCATCCATAAAAAACTCGTTTCATTTCAGAAGTTCTTGCTTCCATGCAACCATCTGATCCAGGCTTCATCTGCAGACGATATCTAGGTTGAACCTGTTGTATATCCGTACTTAACATACGATATTTACAAAGGTGTAGGATTGTTCAATATGTTTACCGTTTCCGCACTCTTAAAATATTAAAAACATTTTTAGTGTAAGTACAAAGTGAGACTTCACAGCCTCTTCAACATAAAACGTCAAAATCGTTAAAATATGAATAAAATATAAATTTAGCTTTATTCATTTACAGATTTTAATTGAATGTCTGTCTACGGCAAATATATAATCAGCGTTAGTTGTACTTCAATTATTTTGCGCATTTCGTGAATATTTTGAACATTACTTAGGTTTTAAGTATATTAAATGTGTTGGTGGGACCATACCCTCCTTGAATAAGTTCATGTTTTCTAAATGATCTAACATTTATCCTTAAATGGTTATCCATCATAAGTATTTAAATCAGTTGCTGTTCACTTTGTGAATGAGTACTTTGATGCTGTGAAGAGCACCTGATTTAGTTTTCCCACTCTCTAAACAAGTCTGATTATAATTATCTCCCATTAACCAGATGCTATATGACACTAATGCGTTTTGCTTTTCCCACTCCATATAACAATAAATTTCCTTTGTTAAAAGTGTATGTAAATGCTGCTATGCTCTTTTACGTGCTAAGGAAATTTAAGCTTTCCTTATCAGGAAAATAACTAAAAAAAATTGTAATGTGGACACGGAAAGACAGCATAGACACCCCAAAAATGCTGGGAAAAATTTTAATCAACCCTTTTAAGGGTTTGTTAAACCCCCTTCGGGGGCT